GGTATCAGAGCATTTTTATGAGTATGATGGTGTAAGACTTTAGCCAGCAATACATCCTCCAACCACTAACGGTCACACTCCTGCCATGACCAGCAGTATTGCTCCCATCCACAAGGGGGCGCAGGATGTCTGTTGCCTGCAATCTTCCTCCCAGTTGCCAGGGGGCAACCATTGGCAAGAACTCTCATTTGTGCTTAGCAATCATTGTTGATGATACTCACCTGTGTAGGGCCCTTTTTAAGTTTGCCTTTTGCCATTGTTTTTTGTTCAGTCTTGAGCCTACCTACCTGTGTATCCTGTTGCATACCGTGAGTCTATTGTAAGCCATTGTGCTTGTTTTGTTTTCCTTTTTGTGACTATTGGAAGCTTTGCTTCTGGTTTTGTTTGTTCTTTGTTCCTTGTTTTTGGATCTTCTACAAGTAAGGAGTTTATTCCTCACGTCTCCTTGAGATTTTGTTATTCCTCTGCACTTGGGTCTCAAAATCCTCAACCTTGAGTTAGCTCACTCAGGAAGAACGCCAGCTCTGTCCCCAGGAGATCGAAGTTCTAGCCCTGCTTAAGACAACATTCAAGATTTGAGTCTATATTCTGGCAGTTCCTGCTTCTGTGTCATTACAGCAAGACTGAACCAAAGATGGACCCAGCAGAGAGTCAAGGCCCTCCATCAAATGTGGAGAGCATATTATCTGAACTCACCAATCAAGCTACTGCTATTCAATATCATGAACGGATATTCCCAGAAATACTTTATCATTTGAACTCTCTAGCTTTGCCCCAAAATCCTCCATCTCAGGAGGTTCTTGAGTTACCCACGCCACCTCCCATCTTTCCTCAACCTCAACCAATTTCAGCGGTTCCTCTTCTTGAGCCCAGGCTACCACCTCCTGTCATGTGGCAGTATACAGATGGATCCCAGCAAGGTTCGTGCAGTCCTGGAGTGGCCCCACCCTGATTCATTGAAACAAGTCCAACGCTTCCTGGATTTCGCCAACTTTTATAGGAGATTTATTTGAGGCTTCAGTTCCATTGCAGAAACTCTCACAACTCTCACCAGGAGGTCTGGCACACCCTTCCAGTGTACAGAGAAGGCTAACTAGGCGTTCAAACGGCTCAAACAGCCGTTTACTTCAACTCCCAAATTGACCCTACCAGATCCTGAGTTACCGTTTATTAGGTGAGGTGGACGCATCGGACGTGGGTGTGGGAGCAGTTTTGTCCCAGAGAGCGACTAGGGACAATAAACCCCATCCTTGTGCCTTTTCACGTCGACTGACAGCAGCAGAGAAGAACTATGATATTGGGGATCGGGAGTTGCTGGCCATTAAGCTGGCATTGGAAGAATGGAGGTTCTGGCTGGAGGGTGCTATACACCCATTTGTGATATGGACGGACCACAAGAACCTCACTTACATCCAGGGAGCCAAGAGGTTAAATCCTCTGCAAGCTCGGTGGGCCCTTTTCTTTAACCGTTTTGACTTTGTCCTCTTACAGACCTGGTTCCAAGAATATTAAGCCTGATGCTCTGTCAAGGCAGTTTGAGTCCGAGGAAGATGAGGACAGGTCAGAGCCCATCATACCAAGGTACAGAGTGCTGGCAGGCATTCAGTGGGACTTGGAGACCGCAGTATGGAAGACCCAAATTCACCTACCTGACCCAGGTAAGGGCCCATCGGGTCGCCTCTTTGTGCCTAACACCATCAGGTCCGAAGTACTGCAGTGGGGTCATGCCGTACCGTCATCTGGACATCCAGGGGTCCTAAGAACCCTGAGGCGAATCCAGTCTAAGTTTTGGTGGCCCAACATGGGAACTGATGTCCGGAGAATGGTTGCTGCATGTTCCACTTGCGCCCAGAATAAGGAACCTAGAGCACTCCCTCAAGGTAAACTACATCCCCTCCCTATCCCGAGACGACCCTGGTCCCACATATCCATGGATTTTGTTAGTGGCCTACCCAACTCTCAAGGTAACACAGTGATACTTGTTGTAGTCGACAGATTTTCTAAGGCATATCATCTCATTCCCAACTCTAAAATTCCTACAGCAGGCCAGATGGCAGAACTTCTCATGCAACATGTCTTTAGGATTAATGGGTTTCCTCAGGATATGGTGTCTGATAGGTGTTCCCAGTTTACCTCAAGATTCTGGAAGGCTTTTGGACGTCTAATCTGTTCCACCATCAGTTTGTCCTCGGGGTTCCATCCCCAATCCAATGGCCAGACAGAGAGAGTGAACCAGGAGATTGAGAAGACCCTCAGCTGTCTGGTCTCGAACAACCCGAGTACGTGGAGTTCCCAGCTGGTCTGGGCAGAATTTGCCTATAACACCCTCCATCACTCATCATTGGGTATGTCTCCATTTGAATGCCAGTTTGGGTTCCCCCCCCTCTCTGTTTTCTGAACAGGACCTTCAAGCACCGGTTCCAGCCGCGGCCCAGTTAGTCCGGAGGTGCCGGGGGGTCTGGCGGAGAGCTTGGTCAGCCCTGTTAAAGTCATCCCGGGAACAACAGAAACCGGCCGATCGACGTCGGCGGATCGGTCTGTCACTCTGTCCGGGGCAGAGAGTGTGGCTTTCTGCTAGAAATCTTCTATTTGCGCCTCGAGTCATGGAAACTAGGTCCTAGGTACATTGGACCTTTCAAGATTCTCAAGAAAATAAACCCAGTCTCTTATCGACTCCTATTGCCCAGGTCTATGCGCATACACAACACATTCCATGTTTCAAAACACATTAACCCCACAATCCTATTGTACTCTGTGCCATAAGCACTTTAATTGATTATTGATTGAATTATGTTTCATTTTTATGTTTTTCTAAGTAATAATATACAAAATGCACAAGCGAATTGGACCAAATTTCTCATATTGTGATTTCTACACAGTTTAATTCTTTCAGGATGCTCAAGACTGTCTACATTATAATATATGGTCTATAACAACCTAAAATAGAATCCATATCCTCCAGCTTTATATCATTCTATTTATATGCATTCTGTATTGGGATAGTGATCACAGCATCTCTCACCTCAGCATCAGTTGAGCACCGCATCTCTGTCTCATCCTTACATCCAGCGTGGCTTGCCTCCGTGTTCTCAAACAAAAAGAATCGCTCCTAATCCTCCCCAGACGCGCGCCCATTCCTCTCCACGGCGCCGCTGACCATTTTTCATCATATATAACTTGTAATTTGATAATCATAGACTAATATGATCCGAGTCACATTCGCTACAACTCTTCCGTGGCGGAGAACAGCCTCCAATTCTCGCGTTCACAAACTACATTAGCCACAGACCACTGGCTGACCGACCGGATGGAGACCCCCCTTTATCGCCCACCCTCGTGACGCAGCGGTGTCAGAGTTCACAGAGTCTGTAATGGCCGATCTGAGTGACGTGTAATCTGACCAATTGCAGCCCAGAACTTTATTGTGAAAAATATATCAAATACACATTCTTCGTAAAAAAAGTTTGCAATGGCTAGGCGGAAAGTCGTGTGTGTGACAAATACATTTCTAAGCTTAATTTTACTGCTTTATGAATATAAAAACCAAAAGGAATGGTATACTTTGTAAAGAAGACACTCTAAGCTTTCAAATGAACCCATATATGGGCTGATACCATGTAAGGAAGGCTATGTAAATGAAGCATACACATTTTTAACATGACTTTGGACCCGTATCCGGGTCCGCAGAGTTAATATAAAAAAACCACTAGAACAGTGTTATATATATTTTACTGACTTGAGTACTTACATTATCTCAAATGTTTCGAAGAATGTTTAAATCCAGAGAAATAATTGTAATTTATTAATTTTAACTTTAATTGTAACTTGGAACATTTTTAACTTGCCTTCATCGTTTATTTCTCCTACTAGTCAAATGCCTTATATACGTAGATTTTATTATTTTTATATTCATATTTTTTAGATTCCAAAAAACCACTAGAACAGTGTTATATATATTTTACTGACTTGAGTACTTGCATTATCTCAAATGTTTCGAAGAATGTTTAAATCCAGAGAAATAATTGTAATTTATTAATTTTAACTTTAATTGTAACTTGGAACATTTTTAACTTGCCTTCATCGTTTATTTCTCCTACTAGTCAAATGCCTTATATACGTAGATTTTATTATTTTTATATTCATATTTTTTAGATTCATATTTTTATAATCTTAAAATATGAAAATTCAATATAAAATGGTAATTAATACATATAATGATAATCATGTTGATATAAATAAACTTTTCAAGGAGTGACATGAATAAACAAAAACAAACCAAATTACTCCAATTACAACTGTCCCAAAGTTGTGCTCTCATTTCAGTTAATCCACATTTACTGAGGAGAAGAGTGTGTCAGAGTTTACGATAAATGAGACACGACGTGACCTGTGAAGAAAATAAAGAAAAATCTCACTGAAGGTGAAGTAAACAAATAAGTCTTATCCTCCATTAAATGACTAGAGTATTTTATAGAGAAGCCACAAAAATTTTATGTAAATAAATTGTAAAGAGAACTTGTATCAGGATATATTTTTAATTGATGCGAAATATTTGAAATCAACTTATTTAAATTGGAAGTCACAAAAAGGCGTATTGTTTTAAAAGGCAATGCAAATAGACATACTGTATAATACAAATGACAGTTGATTAGAATGCAAATATCAGTCCCATTAATATCAGTTTATTGTTGATCTAATTAGGAATTCAGAATCACTGAGATATAAAAAATACTGGTTCAAATTCTTGTTTTCTGTAAACAGTAACATTAGACACACAGTTCAGGTGTTTTGAATTATGTTCTGATATTAAAAAGTATCCTTTAAAACTGAAAGTAAAGACTTGTGGTAGCTGTGATTCTGATTATGATGCCAAACATGCCATAGTTCTAAAACATTCCATCTGAGGAGTGTCATGGACAACTGAAACACAAAGACATATTGTTCTACTAATAACAAAAGTCTGACGAACAGAAAAGTGTACAAGCTGGTTTAGTCAACACACTAGTCTCTTCAACTATCAACCACATACCCGTCTACAGGTAAATAAAATATTAGATCTTTATTCGTATATTTCTTTCTTTTTTGTGTGAATTCTATGATATATGTATATATATATTGTTATAGATGAGCATTTGTCTATATGCAGTAATCAGTTAGAAGCAGTATGTTAGATTAGCTAATTAATTCACTGGTTGCATTTTAGTCATTGTCATCATAACTCTAATTCGATATAAAATCAAATGTGACCCTGGACCACAAAACCATAAGGGTGATTATTATTATTTTGTTTTTTAATTGAGATTTATACATCTGAAAGCTGAATAAATAAGCTATCCATTGATGTATATATGTTTGATAGGACGTTATTTGGCCAAGATGCAACTATTTGAAAATCTGGAATCTGAGGGTACAAAAAAATCGAAATATTGAGAAAATCTCCTTTAATGTTGTTCAAATGAAGTTCGTAGCGATGCATGTTACTATAATCAAAAATTAAGTTTTGATATATTTACGGTAGGAATTTTAAAAAAATATCTTCATGGAACATGATCTTTACTTAATATCCTAATGATTTTTGGCATAAAAATCAATAATTTTGACCCAAACAATGTATTTTGGCTATTACTACAAATATAGCCATGCTACTTATGACTGGTTTTGTGGTCCAGGGTCACAAAGACTTAATTTATTATGATTCCCTTAGATTCCTGGAGTGTGCGGCACAGCAATTTATTCCAAAATGTTGCAGTTTTTCCTGATTCTCTCTGCAGTTTATGCCATGGGCATGGCAGCGCGTGAGTATTACACACATTATACAATTGTTCAGCTCAAATAAGTAATCAAATAAGTAAATAACTAAATATATATATATATAAAAAATGTAAATAAATTAATAGATAAAATAGCAATTCTGGCATGATTACAATAATAAGTTAAAAGTCAGGGTCCAAGATAAACAGATACAATGTGAACAAAAGACAGCTTACTTTTTAAGTTTAGGTAACTTCAGCTCTGATGTTAATTTTCTTGAATAATCCTTTAAATCATAGTTGAAATACATGCAAGACAGTTTTAATAGCTATTATTCCTTCTTTCAGCTTTACCTGATCTTTTCTCTTACTCACCTGCTGTTGGGGACGGCAGTGGGATTGAATTTTCCACTGCCAGTGAGGGTCGCATCACTGGTATCAGAGTCTGGGAATACAATAACTACTGGGGCGGATATATCTCTGGGTAAGTATCCTCAAGCACCACTGGACAGTCCGGATCACCCATATTTTCAAATAACCAAAAAATTTAACAATTATGGCTTTGAAAAATGTTGTTAGAAAAGTATATTTAAAAACCTTGTCAAGTAGACATCAGAAGAATTGGAGTGACAAAAAATTTATTGTCATCAATTGATACTACAAATTATTTATCTCAGGGAAGCATTTGTGATTTAATTTGTATAATAAAATTTTTGATTGTACATTTCATTCTTAATGGCATATGCACTATTTGAACATTATTGACATTTTTGTTTAGGTTCCAGCTGAGGTACGAGAGTAACTGGACAGCAGAGGTTGGTGTAAATAGTGGCAATCCGATGGAAATGATACTCTACGACAAAGAAGCAATTATTCAGGTCTCTGGAAAGTACTACTCTGGTTACATCTATGAGCTTGTGTTTGTCACTAATCAGGGGCGCTTATTTAAAATGGGACAGTCTAATGGGGCCTCGTTTAACTTCTATCCATTCCAGAAAGGAAATGAGCTGCGTTTTCTCAGTGGTCGACAGAATGGAAGTGGCATCACCTCTATTGGGGCTCATTGGGCCGCAATACGTATTGGGAAACCCTGAAATTATTTTTTCATCTTATATTTAATTTAATGTGACCTTACAGAGAAAAATTAATCTTGTACTTGAATATCTTTAATCATTTGATTATATTGTTTTACCCGTACTATGTTCAGGGAGTGTTCTTGTATCTATGCCAATTTGTCTCATTCAGTAAATTGTTAAAATAAAAAGTGTATTATAAATGCATAAATAAGCAATATTAATATGTACATCCCTTAAATGTATGATATATGGATAAAATAATAAACATACACAGGCTAAGTAACCAGTTGTCAAGTTGAATTTGTGCAAAAACTAGTTTAGCTTGTTATGAGGAAATTGTAGAAAATGACAATGCCAGGTATTACAGACAGTGTCTAGCATTGCCTGTATATTTTACAACATATAACAATATATTTCACTAGGCAATATGATGCCAATATATATCAGGGTAACACATGACACTAAAATAATGAAAATAAAATGAACTAAATAACATAAAATGCAACACAAAATAATCTAATGTGCATTAATGATAACAGAATAACAAGAAGAAACGAAATTATTTAAATAATTCCAACTTGTGATGTCATGCAAAGACTTTTACTGTTTTTATTGTAAATTACTGTTGCTTTTACTGTTTTAATTAATGCTTTAATTACTGTTTTACTGCTGCATTTTACATTTTTGTTTTCTTTTCAAATTCATTCTAACAGTGTTGAGCAAAAAGGTTAATTTAGGAACAGATTACCAAAAACAGAAGACATGGATTAAATATTGTGCATCACTGATGCCATTACTCTTACGCCATATCAATATATATTGAAAATATACAGAATAATATACTTTGTATTCAATTAAATTGAATAGGCTAATACATAAGGAATTGCTGCTTTTCATACATTGAAAAGTATATTACAATATATATATTGTAGTATACTTTTTCACTTTTTTAGCTTTAGTTATTCTGTAATGTTGCTGTTTGAGCATAAAAAGTTCTGCAAAGTTACAAAGCTGTAAGGAATTTTAACTCAGTTGTAAGGGAATTAATTATTATTAATTCATTCAGGTTTATTTCTAGCTCAGGTTTTGAAAGAACTCGATCTGAGAATTCGAGGTCCACCTGATCAAAACTGATTTTGACTTTAAATGGTTTACACTCTATCAGCTACTCGGTCAGCGAGAAGTTAATGTCAGTGTATATTACCAATTGAATATGTATTTTATGTTCTCCCTGGCCATAGGTTAACACAATTATGATAATTTGTCAGCTCTTAAGAGAGAGGTAACGTGATCTTGGCAAAGTTTTAACCTTGAAATTATATGACACCAGACAATTGATTATTTATAAATGAAACATGAATTTTATTGGCTATCCTAGATTACATAAAACTAAACTAAAACACACAAAAATACACACACATGTACAGTTTCTTAGACTGTGAGTTGACTGAGTTTCATAGTTCTACCTTGTTTTAACGAGTGATGTAAATTCACCTTAAGAATTTACAGAGCAACGGAGCGTGCATACATTAACAAGAGGCTTCAATTCATCACATCATCTATAAAAGTTGTGTTAATACTCCTGTAAAGTCTCTTAAAAGCAAGTATTGTACATACTATTAAAGTTTACTTCATTTCAACATTCTGCATTTGTTGTTTCCATTTCTTTCAAAATTAAACTTCACATATTACACACATTTTAATATCCTTATTTCCTAAAAGGGTAATAAAACACTGATTAAAGTTGCACCGATTACATGAAACACGTCAAGCATATATATAAGACATACAACATATTATTTGTGAATCTGGTTGCCCTGTTATGCGCATAAATTATTATCTGTTGAAATTGTCTGTTGTAAGTTTCGTGTCCCTTTGTCTGACCGAAGAGAGAGTAAAAGAGTGCGTCCTTTTTTGGAATGCAAAGGGGGCGTTTTTTGGAATACAAAGGGGAGATGTTCTGAGGTCATTCTCATGTCAGAGTTGAGAGTCTGCCAAGTTTCTCCTGCTGGACAGGGAGCTATAAAATTGTCTCTTTTATTGACGGGATTATCAATTTATGTGTTAAGTGGTCATGAGGTCCGTGCGATTCTGTGCGGGACTCTGTCTAGATACCAGGTTCTTTGTTCCATGGTCCATTAGATGGTTTATTTATGCTTAAGCCAGTCACGAAACCTACTGACGTTCTGTTGCTTAAATGAATCCAGATGGGGTAGTGTCAGTTTTTGTTGTTTCTTGTAAAGATAAGCAGAGAGAGACAGGAACTGCTGAGACCCTGAGCTGACCCTGTACGTAGTTTTATGACTGCAGATGGCTGGGGAGAAGAACCTTTAGTTTTCTCGGTGGAATGTAGAGATTCAATGTTCGTTTGTGTCCGTTTATAGATTCAAGGGTTTCAATATCTTGAAGGTCGGAATCCTACACATCCCCCTTTGGCTCAGTGATGTTCCTGGTGCGAACATCGGCGGGCACTGGAACAAGAGGCAGGGAGAGAGTCAATAAGTTGCGTTCATCCTTGATCCTTTCTTCCAATTCTGGATCGAGGACGAAGGAATGCTGTTTGAAGAAGGTTGAGATTTCGAGATCGGCCTGATACTCGTCGTCAGTAAGGTGATACAATGCTAAATCATCAATATGGAGGATCGAACCCTTAGGGACATTGATCCATAAAGTTTGGATGGGCAGGATAATACGCGTGGCAGTGTTGTGTCAACCGTAGGTGAGGGTAGCCGTACGCGCTGGGGTGTTGACTAGCCATCGGTTTCAACGATTTACGACAACAACAAAAAGCTTTTGGTGAAAGGAGTCACTCCTAGTTTCGGGACCTGTATTTAAAGTTGAGCTAAGGGAGTTCCCTGATGAGGGGACTAGAGGGGAAAGGAATTGTAGTGAGAGAGAGGGAAAGAGGAAAACAATTAAAAACATATAGCTATAAAGGAAAACACAAAGAGAAAAAAAACAAACAGACACACAGACACCGAATGAGGTGAGACAGCAAACGAGTGTAGTTCCTGATGTTTGACAGGCTTGTTTTTAGCCATCTTGAATCCATTCTGTTTCCATCCAGGTAGATGGCATGTGAAGCTTAGACAGGAATAGTTCGAGTCGGTACAGATGAGGAGTTCTTTAAGGTTGTGGGATGCAGCACATTGTAGGGATATGAGGATTGCCGCAATTTCTGCATATTGCGATGAGTGAGGGCCTAATTTGAATTGTTGCGGCGGGGGAGGGTCATTGTTGAGCCAGACCACTCCCGCTCCAGCTTTCAAGTTGCCCTGTTGATTGTAGAAGCAGCCATCGACATATGCTGTTGGCATTCCTTCACACACATTCTCCTCAAAGTACCTGTGGTTTGTCAGTTGTGGCGGTAACGGTTCTTTGGGTTCTGCTGCTGTGTGCAGCGTGTCCGTTGAACAGTTCTGGCAGGCTGCTAGCCCGTTTCCTAGATATGATCTGTGGTTTTGGGCATATCTTGCTTCGACGTCCCGTCCTTGGAGTTTAACGTTTCCATGTTTGTCTTGAGTCTGAGCACATGGCTTTGTCTTTGTTTATGTTGGCCATGTGCTCCTCTCGTCCTGCCCCCTTGTTTCCCTCTACCGCGCCCCCTTGTTTAGTCCTAGTCTAGTCCTCGTTAACTTGATTGTGTCCACCTGTTCCTCATGTGTTCTACGCCTTTATAGTGTGCCTCTTCCCTCATGTCTTTGCTGGTTCGTTGCGTTAGTTCTCGGCGTATAAGGTAATTCCTTATCAGTCTACTTGTCATATTAGTAGTGTTATATTTTACACTCCTAGTCAGTCTAGCTTTGCATTTAGTTCTCTTGAAGTTAATTATGGTTTCTTTGCTTTTTGTTATTTTGCTCTAGTCTAGTTCCTGTCCTTGTTTGCTCTAGTTTTCTCAAGCCTCTAGTTTGGTTTCTTTCTTTATTTTGATTTTGTCTTTGCCCAGTTTTTATTCTAGTTATCGATTTTCTAGAATTTGCCTTTTTTGTTCTTTTGGTTCATTTGCTCTCTGCAGTTTGTATTTGTTTCTGTTCTTTTCATTCTAGTCTTAGTGTGTTATTTTGCTGCTGCTTGTTCTCTCTTGTGGTCTTGTCTTGTGTGTTGTGTTCGTTCCTGTTCTGTGTACTGAATCTCTCCTGGCTGCTGTTCTCAAGACCTGGCTATCTGACTGGACTGGTATCACTACAGCTCGAAGTATCAAGCCCTGGTTTCTCAAGCTGCTGCCTGATATCCAGTGTTCTCATTGACTGGTGCTGCTCTATCTCCTTTGTTCTCCAGCAGAACTTTGTTCAGGGCTGACCAAGGACCAGCAGACTGCCCTTTCCTACTGTTTGGACTCTCACATCATCCCATTCATTCCTTGTCTTGTCAATAAACCTCACTCCCTTGATCATTATGCATCTGGGTCTCTCTCTCTCTATTAAACTGCTGTGACAAAACCCTGACATGTAATCATTCTTATGTAATATTTTTGTAAACACAAAAACACCACTGGGCTCTAGATATGGCTTTGGATACGACTAGCTCAGGAGACCCGTACATTGTTCGGTTCCAGTTACAGAGCCTCCGCAGCAGGGTGACTGTGAGGCAGCATAGTCACGGGTCAAAACACCACTGATCAAAACATCAAACAGGTTCTCCCCACTCAGTGACGCACCCACTGAGAAACCTGATCAAAGTGCTCTAGTTATTGGCGATTCTATTGTATGGAACGTGAAAATAGAGACACCAGCCACCATAGTCCAATGTTTACCGGGAGCCAGAGCGCCTGACATCTTGGCAAATTTAAAAGTTCTGGCTAATGCTAAACGTAAATTCAGTAAGATTGTTATTTACGCCGGCACTAATGATGTTCGACTTTGCCAGTGGGAGATCACTAAAAATAACATTAAAGAGATGTGTGAACTTGCAAGTATGATGCCAGACACTGTAATATGTTCTGGTCCCCTCCCTGCTTACCGTGGTGACGAGATACATAGCAGACTGTCGTCACTCAATGGCTGGATGTCTAAGTGGTGCCCGCAGAATAACATAGGTTTCATAGACAATTGGACAAGTTTTTGGGGCAGACCTGACCTGTTGAAAAGAGATGGTCTTCATCCCTCCTGGGGTGGTGCGCTCTTCTCTCTTGAAATATGGCACATAGTCTTAGAGATTGTACTTGACTAACTGGGGCCCAGGTCAGGAAGCAGACAGCCTGGCTAAACCGACCGTCTGCTAGCCACCTTACGTCACAGAAATCAGTTAATTCTCAGCTCATAGAGACACTTTC